TCAGAATACACTAAAGATTTTAACTGCAAACGCAAGCTTGTTCAAGACCAGAGAGTCCTCTCTAACGAAAGAGGCTACAAGTGCAGTGAATGTGGAAAATCTTACAGCAAAAGCTATAGTCTGAATGACCATTGGAGAGTTCACACTGGGGAAAAGCCTTATGAGTGCGGGGAATGTGGGAAGTCCTTTAGGCAAAGCTCTAGCCTCATTCAACACCGGAGAGTTCACACTGGAGCGCGGCCTCACAGGTGTGAGTTATGTGGAAAATTATTTAGCAATAAGTCCAACCTCATTAAACATCGAAGAATCCACACTGGAGAAAGGCCTTATGAGTGCAGTGAATGTGGGAAGTCCTTTAGCGAAAGCTCTGCACTCCTTCAACACCGGAGTGTTCACACAGGGGAGAGGCCTTATGAGTGCAGTGAATGTGGAAAGTTCTTTACCTACCACTCCAGTCTCATAAAACACCAGAGAGTTCACTCTGGGTCCAGGCCCTATGCCTGCAGTGAATGTGGAAAATCCTTTACTCAAAAGTCCAGCCTCATTGAACACCGCAGAGTCCATAGTGGGGAAAGGCCATATAAGTGCAGCGAATGCGAGAAATCTTTCAGCCAAAGCTCTGCGCTTCTTCAGCATCGGAGAGTTCACACTGGAGAAAGGCCTTATGAGTGCAGTGAATGTGGGAAATTCTTTACTTACAGTTCCAGTCTCTTAAAACACCAGAGAGTTCACTCTGGTTCAAGGCCTTATGAGTGTAGTGAATGTGGAAAGTCCTTTACTCAAAATTCTAGTCTCATCAAACACAGGAGAATTCACACGGGAGAAAGGCCTTATGAGTGTAGCCAATGTGGAAAATCTTTTAGCCATAGCTCAAGCCTCATTAAACACCGAAGAGTTCACACTGGATAACAGACTTGTGAGTATTAGAATGTGGGAAACTGTTACTTTTTTTAAAATATATTTTTGATTACAGAGAGGAAGGGAGAGGGAGAGGGAGAGAGAGAGAGAGAGAGAGAGAGATTCCATCTTGAATCTGTATACTTTCTTTTCTGCTGAACTGTTTCTTCAAGAACAATTAAAATGTTGCTTCCTCTACTCTCAAATAATTAGCTGCTTCCTTCTTGGTACTTGTGCTATACTCTTTAAAAAAAAAAATAAAAAAATTAAAAAAAAAAAAAAAAGAGAGAGAGAGAGAAACCTCAGTGATAACAGAGAATCATTGATTGGCTGCCTCGTGCATGCTCCCTACTGGGGATTGAGGCTGCAACCCGGGCATGTACCCTTGAACAGAATCGAATCCGAGAGCCTTAAGTCTGCAGGCTGATGGTCTATCCACTGAGCCAAACCGAGTAGGGCAGAATGTGGGAATTATTTACCCTTAACTCCTGGTCCTAAAACACCACGTCACATTGGATGAAGGCCTTATGATTGTGGTAAATGTATGAAATCATTGCCAAAGTCTAGCCTCATTACCTCCAGAGAATTCACAGTAGGGGCAGACCTTATAAGTGCAGTGAATGTGAGAAGGCCTTTCAGGTGCAGAACATACCTGATTGGATACCACAGATTTAAAATGGGAGAACTGCCTTAATTGGGCAGGTATATACTATTTGTTCAGTGCACCACACTGGAGTAGACCCAACATGAAGCTGCCATTTACCTGTGTTGAGCCTCATACATCTGAACATCTATATAAATTCCATGTATTCAGCAACTGCATTGCACTTTTTTTTAAAAATGTATTTTTATTGATTTCAGAAAGGAGGGGAAAGGGAGAGATACAAACATCAGTGATGAGAGAGTATTATAGATCTGCTGCCTCCTGCACACCCCTAAGGGGAATCAAGCCGTCAACCTGGGCATGTGCCCTTGACCGGAATCGAACCCAGGACCTCTCAGTCTATAGGCTGATGCTCTATCCACAAAGCCAAACCAGCTAGGGCGCATTGCACTTTTTTTAAAATATATATTTTATTGATATTTCACAGAGAGGAAGGGAGAGGGATAGAGAGTTAGAAACATCAGATGAGAGAGAAACATCGACCAGCTGCCTCCTGCGCACCCCCTACTGGGGATGTGCCAGCAACCAAGGTACATGCCTTTGACTGGAATTGAACCTGGGACCCTTCAGTCTGCAGGCCGACGCTCTATCCACTGACCCATACCAGTTAGGGGTACATTGCACTTTTTAACTTTCCCAGGGTCATAGCCAGACTTATGTCACTGGCAATTCTGGAGCAGAACCTATTTCAACTCTACCTCCTGGTGGAAGTCTACAGTGTGCAACATTGATCTATTCTAGAACATTCAGGGATGTAAGCCCCGAGTTGGGGGGCAATTCATGAGTTTGGTGAGCACTTTCTCTTCCCCTTATTTTTTCCTCTCTATTGAGTTAGAAAAAGTCATGGGCCTTTCCCAGTTTTGACCTAGAGGACTCAGTTGGGCATTTTAAAAGATGGACTACATTTTTCAGGGATTGTTGATCTCACATGACTCCTGTGAAGGCATTTTCCAGCCTCCAACTCACCAACCCGGGAACTGCGCCTATCATTGCTCTTGTTTGTATGAAAATAAAGGTCTTATTTGTTCAAGCCACTGTTCATCTTGGGGTTCTAGTCGCTGTTTCGGGTGCTTTGAAATTAACTGGGTTTGCTAGCATGAAGGTGTGAACAGCATTGATTGGGATCCCAAACCTTGTGTGCCTCCAGGTATAGTGTGATGGCAGAACATACGTCTTCAGTTTTGGCCCAGTTTGCGTTGCTGCTCATAGCCTTTAGGAAAGACAGCGGAGCTTTGTGGACCTAGATTGTAGCTTGGAAGCCATGACTTGGGGGTTCTGAGTTCAACCTGAGAAGGGGTCCTTGTGACATCCTTCCTGCTTCTGAGAGCAACATGAACTTGTTCTTGTTCACGGGGCCTCTTGTCTCATGCTCAGCACTGGTGAGGGACCGTCTATCCCTGCAGGTCCTGCAGTGCAGCTGTGGGCCCTGAAGTCCTGACTTCTGTAGGTACCATCACTGGTTTTAAGATGACAGGGGCCAGTAGAAGGATCATTGTTGCAGAAACACTGGATTCAGAGAGTGGAGGAGACTGCCACAAGTGATTAGCATGCTCTTTTTATTTATTGGTTTATTTCATTTTATTTTCCAGGAGGCACATCTTCAGAAAGGTCCGCAGTGTTTAGTCCCAATGGCTGTGAAGGATGAGACATGTGGCCTTTGTGGTCCAGTCAGTGTTCCTGTGATGCAAGTGGGAACAGCCTTCACTGTTCACTTTTTTAATTATTATTGATTTGAGAAAGAGGTAGAGAGAGCCATTGATGTGAGAGTGATACATTGATTGGTTGCCTCCCACATGTATCCAAACTGCAGACTGAACCCCGCAACCTGGGTATGTGCCCTGACTGGAGTCTAACCCAAAGTTTTCTGGTGTGTGGGACAGTTCTCCAACCCACTGAACCACACCGGTCAGGGCATTGCTCACTTTTTGGCTGCCACAGAGGCATGTGTCCCTCTCATTAGGTGAGGGAATATAGAGTCAGTACAGTTGCCAACCCTGATTTGAACCTATTGTTATTTATTTTAAAAGTAGAGGCGTGCTGCACAACATTGGTGTACTGTTGGGGGGGGAGGCGTCCCTCAGCCTGGTGTGCAACCTCTTACAGTCCAGGATTCCTCGGGGAATGTCCAACTGCCACCGCCACTGCGCTCGCCAGCCATGAGCCCAGCTTCTGGCTGAGTGGTGCTCCCCTGTGAGAGCACACTGACCATCAGGGGGCAGCTTCTGCCTTGAGTGCCTGCCCTCTGGTGGTCAATGCACATCATAGTGACCGGTCGTTCTGCCGTTGAGTGATATGCATATTAGCCGTTATTATATAGGATACATTTTTACTGATATCAGAGAGGAAGGGAGAGGGAGAGTTAGAAATATCAATGATGAGATAGAATCATTGATTGGCTGCCTCCTGTATGCCCTCTACTGGGGATCAAGCCCGCAACCCGAACCCGATTTTGTGACCTTGACCAAATCAAACCTGGGACCCTTCTGTTTGCACAGACTGAAGCTCTATCCACTGAATCAAACCAGGTAGGGCTTGAACCTATATTTAAAGTTTTAATAAGGTATAAATGACATGCAATAATCTGAACATATTTAAGTTTTGACATTCATGTAAACCCATGAAACCATCTATATATATAAAAGCCTCAGCGACCAGATGACCGGCTGGTCGCTATGACGCCCAATGACCACCAGGCAGCTGACGCTCAGACAGGAGCTGCCCCCTGGTGGTCAGTGTGCTCCCACAGCAGTAGCGCCATGCCACTCAGCTGACCATTGGGCGCCAGAAGCTGGGCTCATGGCTGGCAAGTGCAGCTGCAGCGCTACCAGCAGCCTGCAGGGATCGGCCCGAAACCACCAGTACAACAACTCCTGAGGGGCCCCAGATTGTGAGAGTGTGCAGGCCAGGCTGAAGGACCCCACCAGTGCACAAATCTGTGCCCTGGGCCTCTAGTCAAATGTAATAATAATCCTTTCCATCACCCTCATATTTACCCTGTATCTTTTTTTTTTAAATATATTTTATTGACTTTTTACAGAGAGGAAGGGAGAGAGATAGAGTTAGAAACATCGATGAGAGAGAAACATCGATCAGCTGCCTCCTGCACATCTCCCACTAGGGATGTGCCTGCAACCAAGGTACATGCCCTTGACCGGAATCGAACCTGGGACCTTTCAGTCCACAGGCCGACGCTCTATCCACTGAGCCAAACCGGTTTCAGCCCCTGTATCTTTTAATCACTGTGGCCTCCAAGCAGCCATAGAGTTGCTTTTCATTATAATAGATTGGTTTGCATTTTCTAGCCTTTCATATGATTGAAATCATAAAGTGTTTAGTCTTTTCCTTGGGTGCCCTCATATGACGCATTTATTCTGAGATTCATCAGGGTTGCTTATCTGAGTAGTTGATTGTTTCTGTGTTGTTCAGAAGCATGCTACAGTGATGTACCACTATTCATCTACTTGTAGATGTTTCAATTGTTTACAATTTGGGCCATTGAAAAAATTGGACTTAATTCACATTGATATGTTCCCTTTCTTGTGTTAATACCTTGAAGTACATTACCTGAGTCAGAGTGTAAGTGAATGTACAACTTTGAGAAACACCAAGCTGCCATCTATAATGACTGTTCCTTCATTGCTCACTTACTTAAAAATATATATATATTTCTTGCCCTAACCAGTTTGGCTCAGTGGATAGAGCATCAGCCTGCAAACTGAAGGGTTCCAGGTTTGATTCCAGTCATGCCCTTGCAGACTCGATCCCCAGAGGGAGATGTCCAGGAGGCAGCTGATCAATGATTCTCTCTCTCCCTCTCCCTTCCTCTCTGAAATTAATGAAAATATACTTTAAAAAAAGA